TATGGTTTGACACTGGCACAATGCTAGTGCCTTCATGAAAATGTAACTTTTAATTGAATGCTGTGAAAGGTTATTGAGAACCGGGTAGAGCAGGCTTAAGCTTAATAACAAAGGAAAAAAATCTTTATTAAAATACTACTGCTATACTGTTATAAAAGAAAAAAAAAAGAAATAAAAACACACACTAAATCTAAAATAAAAACCTTATAAAATATTCTTTTTCTCCCCCTTCTAATTTTAATAAATTATAGTGAGACACAACTTGGACCCCTAATTAGGTTGCTACTTTTTAGATAATTCATATTTAGTTTATTGAAGGAGAGAGAAGTATTTACTCAATTAAGGTTAAGTACTCAATTAAGGTTAAGAGTAACCTTAATTAGTCACTCTAAGTGCTAATATCTAACCCTGACCCCTGACTGGATTGAACTCTTCTTTCTGAGAAAATTTTTCTTCTATGTCAAACCATGACACCAGCACAATTAAAATCAGTCTTGCATTGTCTTCACACAGATGAACCCTCCCTCCTTTTACCTGCAGGATTCCCAGAGTGTTCAAAAGCTGGGAAAACAAACCAACCACCATGAATGCCTCTGCACCTAATTCCCTGTTTCTTTTTTTTTTTTTTGATTGTCAAAACTCACTATCTTTCTTTAGAAGGTTTTTTTTAAGTATTTAATTTTAAGTGTTTACGTATTTAAGTTTTTAAAATATTTAAGTATTTAATTTTAAGTATTTAATTAAGAAATGGCACTTGAATTATTTTTACTTTTAACTTAATAACTGATCGCTCCAAGTCCACAATGCAGACTTGTCTAATTACAAAACACTGCTTCAGCTTATGAAGAAGAAGGTGCAGAAGAAGGTAAAGGAGAAGGACTAGCTGCCTTAAAATTTTATAAATATGACTATATTTTAAAGTTTTCTACGATGTGATATTACACACTTCTAATCAAAAGACACACTTAATCCCAGTTCTGCCAATTTTGGAGGCCTTCTCCACAGCCTCAGGTCAAATGCAGTGTTGTTCTTCTGGGGGCAGAGTTTGTCAGCACAGCAAGTCTCAAACTCTCAGCATCCAGAACTGAACAGCAGAACCCACGGGCAATAAAAACCACCCACACCAAACTTTCCCTGCGTTTGTAAATCCACCAGTGTGGAGCAATCAATAGAGCTGAGGCCTGGGTTTTAATTAGAGCTTTCTGTCTGAAACCTGCTTTTCTTTGAACACTACAGCGCAGGGCAGAATATTCCCTAAAAATTCAGAGTGTGGTTCATTAGTGCTCATGGACACAGCCTGCCCTTGTGGAAGTCAATGAGAGCAGCAGATTTCACATCCTGGCCCTGATCCCAGTGCCTGAGGCTGCAGGGCTCTTACCACCCCCAAACTGCTCAGGTGCAACTCTCCTGGAATTAATTTCCTCTGTGGGACTATTTAAATGAATGCAAATCTGCCTGCAAGTCACAAACTTCTAGAGATGCTCACCGACTTAAATGCTAATGAAGCTTTTCTGCTGTGAGGTGTAAGGGGAAGGAAAACTAAACAGAATTATAAGAATAAGCATTGAGAGCAGTGAAAGCTGGAAAAATAAAAGGTGTTTCACCCAGACAAGTGTTAAACCAACCCACCTCAATCACCGCCTGCCCTCAAGGGGGCAAAAATTGCTTTGTTAAATCTTGGTCAAGCAAAAAATGGAAGATCTCCTTTATTTAAAAAAAAA